TCAAGGAGTATCCCGTCTTTTACCTTCCTAGTGCTTAGTTTTCTTTGGATCTCGAAGCAGATAAAATGATCGCTAATTTTGTCATCCATCCAATTGAGCCTGACAGATCCGGAATATGGAGTCTCCATATGATAAAAACGGGATGGTGTTTCATTCAAGGTTCTTGTTCAGTTCTAGGTGGCGATGCTTTACCGATGAACTTTCGTGCAAATCCATTTTATTCCACTGCGTCGTAAATATGGCTTACTTTTTTTCGTGTCTCAGCATTCGATCACAGGTTGCACTCTCTATCCGTCAGGTATTTAAGTATTTTGGCCTTAATGACAAGAGAATTGTCAAATTTAAATTCAAAAGTTGTGCGTACATTGTTATAACTGGTCCATCTAAATATTAATTTGTCGTTTGTAAACGTCAATGCATATTTTCCATCATTATTCATTTATTATTGAGGAAGTGTACAGGAAAAATCGAGAACAACGTCATTCAAGCAGTAAAGCTTCACCTATCAACTGGGGAAGAAGGATTATCGCAGGCGAGTGCAAGCGACCTGCAGTAACAAATCAGCGTAGAAAAAATCCTCGCTCCTAGTTAGGTCAAAAAACGGTGTATGAGCACGATTGGGATTCTGCAACACGAGGCAGAGTAATGTCACAACCCCAATGGTCAGGTGCGTCAGTTTTATTAAAGAACGAATTTGGCTGAACGGACGCATCGAAGAGGCATTAATTTTTCTGCTTGGAGAAGACGTCAGCTGTTTTAGAGGACAAAAACTTTGCACCAAGTGTACAAGATTGTCAAACCTATTGACACAAATCTACTTGACCAGCAGTATGGATATAAAACATATTATTTTGCTCCAAAATTACAGCAGCTGTTACCACAAGAAACGATGAAAACCAGCCCGGACTACCATGAAGACGAATCGGAACGTCGGTACTCGTCAATTACCCAGTTGGTCAATTTACTTGCGCTGTTTATGGATAAATGATTTTATATAATTTTAGCTGTTGGTATTACAAATTATGGAATTTTTTCTGCTTATGTCTAAAATGAGGCATTAGCCAGATTAAACTGATGTGTTGATCTGGCGTGTTGTGTTTAACGCTTTATGATCGTTCCTTAAAGCTTTGCTGATTTTTAAATGGGCTTATGAGATTGCTGAAAAATTTACGAATATGGAGCATCGCATTATTGACAATGGCTAGAGTTAGGGGTTTGGTACCGCAAGGCATGCATAATCACATTGAAATCGTCCCGTAATGTAAATGAAATTAAATTCTCGTTTTTATAGTATTTTCGAATGATCTAAGAATTTAGATTGATTAAATTGCAACAGGCGAAGGAAGAACTTTAATTTTCCTATGCATAGTATAAGTATTTGATTTATGTTATACGCAAACGGGGAAATTTTAATGCATGACTAAGATTTCGGCTGATTTTAAATCTTTGATGCGCAAACATACTGTAGTTCAATCATGCATGATTGTCAAGATGTAATTATTTTCCTTCTGTCAGAAGCTTCGCGGAGATAGAGGTCATGCACGTGTTCATCTATCTGCTTACAGTCTGAATTGTAAAATTTTAATTGCTAAATACTCTTATTTACGTGTATGACTTTGACTTTCGGTATCTCTGATTTCGTAAAATCTCATTATTAATGGAATGTCGTGTATCGCGGTACTCCGCAGTGTTCACCTGTTTTCTAGTTTTTGAAGAAATGGATGCACCCGTTTTGGAAATGTTGTAAATATCTGAGCTTTTTAACAAATGGTTTCAGCGAGTACAGAACCAAAATTGAATCCATAACGATCTTGCAGGTCAAGGTGACTGCCTACCTGTGACTACGGCTAAATCTAATGGTTGCCCTCCCATTTTTAATACCCAGCTGTTTTGGTTTCCTGTCCGTGACTTGTTTTGTCTTGAACGTTTTTATTGCGGAAATCCCAAGAATATGGTATTGAGTTTATAACGGTACACAAGTGAGTTTAAACAGTACATATTTATCGACGATGCAGTACAGGAAGTCGTGCTTGACTTATCAAGTATGCTTCTTCCTGACTTCTACACAAAGTGGCCGTTAAGGAGTCACAGCGACAGGTTACCGACTTGGACTGAACGGCAAATCAGTTTCAATAAATTATACATTATTCCATGATCTGGTGGCACTTGAATGAAACGGATTAAAACATTTTGTATCAATTGCTCAACGATAAATTACTTAATGAAAGCTATGCTGTGACGTCTAAAAATTACCGTCATGAAACAAAATTGTCGCTTAAAATTCAACAAACG